CATTTTATGTCCCCCTGGTATATAAAGTATAGAACCACTATATCCCCCGGGATATAAACTGTTTCTACTTTATTCAATCCGGATATATAATGTAGAACCAATATATACCCCGGCGTATAAAATGTAGAATGTAGTACCCCTGTTATTTAGTGTATGAACATTTAATACCCCAGGTAATTAACGTAAAACCCAGATATATAATATAGAAACATTTTATACCCCAAGTGAATAAAGTAAAACCATCATTTGCCCCTGGTATATAATGTAGAACCATTATATACCAGGATTTAAAAAAGTAAAAAAATGTATACCCCCGCAGTATAAAATGTAGAACTTTGGGAAAATTTAATACCCCGGGTAAATAAAACATTTCATGTCCCCGGTGTATATAAAGTAGATCTAAGCCGTAAAAATAATCTTAAAGGGACTATAAGCGTGATTTCTAGTGACCCTCCCTGTAAAGATAGAAATACTCGATTTACAACGGTACCCTTGAAACCTTGTCGTTTTTAATTCTGACTATAGGAACGTGTTAAATTTTGATAATTTCTCTATTGATTCTTTTAAGCAGAAAATTCGCAAGTCAATTTGGCAGAGAAACCACAAAAATAAATAAACAAAAGCATGAATATCTAATACTTGATCAGACATAAACCGGCCATGTTTCTTCCTTATTCTCAATCCAAAAAAACGGCCATCTATCTTCCTTATTCTCAATCCGAAAAACGGCCACATATCTCCAATATTTTCAATCCAAAAAACGGCCATGTATCTTCCTAATTTTAATCCAAAAAAACGACCGTATATATTTCTTTTTCTCAACCCGAAAAACGGCCATGTATCTTTATTATTCTCAATCCAAAAAACAGCCATGTATCTTCCTTATTCCCAATAAAAAACCGAAAAGACGACTATGTATCTTCCTTAGTTTTAATCCAAAAAAAACGGCCATATATATTTCTTATTCTCAACCCGGAAAACGGCCATGTATCTTTATTAATCTCAATCCAAAAAAACGGTCATGTATCTTCATTAATCTCAATCCAAAAAAACGGCCATGTATCTTCATTATTCTCAATCCAAAAAAANATGTTTATGTGCCTCTGCTGTTTGCATGTTTATGTGTCTCTGCTGTTTGCATGTTTATGTGTTTCTGCTGTTTGCATGTTTATGTGTTTCTGCTGTTTGCATGTTTATGTGTCTCTGCTGTTTACATGTTTATGTGTTTCTGCTGTTTGCATGTTTATGTGTCTCTGCTGTTTGAAAGCTTGTATAAAACATAAATTGAAATTGTCGTCTTCATTGTATTGATAAATACGACGACGACTGTTAAAGATGCACAATTGACTTAAAACATAATAAATGACATGAAAACATAGTGTTTATGTTTTATGAAAACCCTGTTAAATGATTTGGATATTGGAAACATTAAAATCTGACCCTAAAATAATTTCAAATTAAAATACATATTTTTTTTATTTTGGTGGTATCATTTTCATTAAAGAAAAATAACTAAGTTTAATAGAAATTCTGTTTAACAGATACGGATGACTGATTTTGTAAAAATATCAGATATTAAAAAATACATGAAGTAAGTCAACCTGTCTTATTTGATATCTGTAACTTTTTAACAAGGTCAAAAAAAAACTTTAAAATGCAGTAAAATGTTAACATTTTTGCTTTAACACAAAAAAAAACAGAATTTGAGGCTAATCAATCAATCAATCAAATCACTAGAGGTAGGTATCTGTCCAAAAAGTAACCTTAGTCTTGTTGTCCATATTTACAACACTTTCTTTCATCAAATTTATTTTTTGACTGAAAATAGTTTCGGGGGAGAATGAATCTGAAGAGTCTAAACTGAAGGAGGGGGAGGTCGCCATTTCTGTAGATTTTATACTTTCGTTGTCGAATGTTTCGTCCGACTCACGCCCGCTGTCGAACTTTTCCTCATTTTTGCTATCACGAGAAAACGAGGAAAAAGTTACATTTTTGGTGTCGCTACTGCGCTTTTGACTCACTTTTTCCGGAAGACTGACTCCCCGCGGCGGGGGTGGTGGTGGGGCCCCACCAATATGTAGTTTTCGATTCACACCATCCCTTGAGGGAACCGGCGGCTTTGCGCATTTATCCAAATCCTCTAAACTTCTGGAAGACGACTCAGCTGTGCCCTGGAGATATGGCGGGAAATCTTGATTTACCCGCGGCAAATATGACAAATCATTATTTGGTTTGGATCTGGTTTCGGACATTTTCTGAACACCGCGCCCCTTCCCTTCCAGCAGTTTGTTTTGTCGCTTGAGCGTCTCAATCTCCTTCTTCTGAGCGTCGATGACCCTGTCCCTCTCTTGAATGATGACAAGGACTCTGTTCCTCTCCCTGAGGATACTCCCCTGCAACTGCAGCAGGTCACTGCTCAAGGTGTCAAGCTGGTTCTCCTTCTCTGCTTCCATCTGCAAAAACAAAAAAGTTTAATTTTAAAGAAAAATTTTAATTTGATCTTACACAGCAGGAAGGATTTTTAATTTTTATTTGTGAAAAAGACACAATTAATAGAATGATTTTCAAAATTTTATATCGTGGTTTTTAATTATATGTCCCGTTTTCTGTTACAATTACAATTACATTTCAACTTTCTAATTTCTAAATAGGAAACCTTTAAGAGCATTTACAACCTCTCCCATTGTCTGTCTAAGATAAGTGTTATATAAATTGTTCAGGAATATTTCAGAAATTCTAAATGATGACTAATATAATACATACTACGTTTAGGAGCACTTCTTGAATTTGCAGTGATCACCAGAAAACTCTGGAATAGGAAGTCGACTTTTAAACTCAAGTTATTATTTTAAATAGTCCAATAAACGTGAAAACAGCGATTGTGCAGTGTAAACAGATTCCTTTTTGATAATTCTCCTTTATCTTCCCTCTTCCCCTCCCTCCTCCTTCTCCCTCCCCTCTTCACCCACCCCCTCCCCAATTCTCCTTCCAATCT